ATTGGAAGTTGGGCTGTTCAAATAAGGAAATGTCCAACCCGGATTTTTAAAGGGTGTTTTGGTCTTTTCCATACCCGATTATTTTAATTCGTTTTAGTAAACTAATTAAGGGTCAAAACTGAACTTGGTCAGTTTATGCCTTTCACAAAAGAGTTAGGGTTTTGAAGAGAAATGAGAAGAGAAGGAGCAAGAATCGTCAAGATCTTCAAGAATCGCTTGTGGATTTCGTCAAGGGTTGATCCCTACGAGGTATGTGAGTTCACACAACATTGGGTTCGTTCACCCACGTGCCAAACATGATTAATTCAACATGAATTCGTCCTAAAAGTTGAAAGTTTGAATGTTCTTGATGTGTGTTCTTGAATTTACTTTCGTTCTTGAATTTGGGATGTGATTGAGGAGTTCTTGAGAGTTTAAGATCGATTATTAGAGTTGTTTTGAGTTATATTCTTGTGTATATGTTGTGGATACCCGAATTTAAAGATATATGGAGAAAAAGAACCAAATCTAGGCGAATTAGGGCTGAAAAACAAAGAAGAAAATTAATTGGGCAAATCTGGGCACTGGCTTCATGTCGTAGACCTGCTCCCCAGATTTGGGAAAAATCATTTCGCGTTGCGGAGAAGTCACGGACCGTTCTGCCTCGAAAAGTATTTTCGCGACCAAAATTGAAATACATCTCCGCATCGTGGACCAGCTTTCAGACAGTGATTTCTTGATCATTTCTCATGTTTAGCTATCTAAAATCATTCCAAAACATCATGAGATCTTTCTTATCACAAATCACAATCCTTGAATCCATAATTCAATTCAAGGAAAGTTAAGAGTCAAGTCAAGAGAAGTTCATAGAGTCTTCCAAAAGTCTTTTACAAATGATTTAACTTTGTTTTAAGACTTGTGGTTTGAGTTGAGTAAAAAGTGAAGATTGAAGTTCAGTTCTACAAAGAAGTATAAGAGGACTATGTATTCTCAAAAAGTTTAAAAATGTTTTCACATTTGAACAAGAAAGGGAACATCGATTCCAAGAGAGCTTTTAAGCTAAGTTTTGAGTAATTATCTCAAACCAAAGAAAGAAGTTTGTTTTAAAAACATATGAGCTAAGTATATTTTGGGAGTAGTATTGAGCACCGATATGGATGCGTGTTCATATTAACTCAACTCTCCATAAACCATGTAGCCATCATAGGTAGTAAGGATCATACTTTTTAGATGACTCATTAAGATGCTATTAGCATAGACTAGTGGATCCACTTAGTTAAGCGTTATATATGACGGCAAAGTATAGGACGGCAAAGTATAGGACAGGTCTGGCAGCATGGGCAAGATGTTGTATCACCACTTAGGCTCATAGTGGTGGTTGTCGGTTAGAGAATCTCCCACATAAACTATATTACCTTCTTATATAAGTAAAGTTGAGTTTGTTATTGCATTTTCTTTAACAAACTAAGTTGTTTTCTACTGTTTTACAAGCTTTATATATATTGTATGTGTTTTATTGCTTTATATTGAGTGAAGTTGTTCAGGAGTTAAGTAAAACCAAGGTGAGTGTTCCTTCCAAATTCTTTTCAAGCTTAAGTTATGTTTAGCATTCCAACTCACATACTCGTACATTCAATGTACTGATGCTAGTTGGCCTGCATCTTATTATGATACAAACGCAGGTAACCAGGATCAGCATCCAACACCTCGTTGATCCAGTTGAGCATTCAAAGTCAGTTGGTGAGCCTCCTTGCTTTCCAGAGGGCTCATTTGTTATCATTTGATTTTAGTATTTCATTTGTTAGGATGATCGGGGGTCTTGTCCTGACATCCATCTCAATTGTTTTAGAGGCTTCACAGATAGTCAGACGTTAGTTCTTTAGTCTTTTCATTGTCATTATCCTATGTTGAGACTTGAGTTTGTCTTAATCGCTAGTTGAATGTTCCTTTATAATATTCCAGTTTATTACATAGATTTATCTTTGTTGAGTTAAATCTTCCACTGAGTAAGTATGCCAGGCCAAGGGTTCGCTTGGGGCCAACAATGGTTCTCGAGTGTCGGCCATGTCCAAGGTGTAGGCTCATGGCGTGACAAACTTGGTATCAGACCACAGAGTTCAAGAGTCCTAGGGAGTCTATGAAGTTGTGTCTGTAGAGTCCTAGTTATCGATGTGAAGCGCCCCACATCTATAATTAGGAGGCTGCAACACTTAGGAAAATTATCTGACTTCTTTCACACTCATTTTGTGCGTTAGAGTTTGATCTTTAAAAAGTTTCCTTCTACTTCGTGCTTGCGCGTGTTTTCAGATAATCATGCCTCCACGAAAAGCTTTTAGAGGTCGTCCTACTAGGAGGAATGTTGAGGAGCAAGGGGTACCCAATGCACCTGAAGTGCAACCCTAAGGAGAGGTTACGAATGCTGAGTTTCGTGATGCTATCCGGTATAAAGATTAAGATGAGAAGGTCAAAAGATAATTTCATTAAGTCTGGCAGCAAGCTATTATATACATAATCTTCAACCAACTGATGCTAAAGTGCAGGCCACCACCTGCACATGATCTACAACTAACTAATGCTAGATAATAGGAACTATAACTACTCCTAAATGTGCTCCACATAGTAGGAGACTTATTCAAACTAGTAACAAGAGGTAAATAAAACATATACTAGAAGTTACTGCAGTTAGCAACCTACAGATATCATTAATACACCCCCTCAAGGTAGGCAAGGTGCAACAATGCCTAACTTGGAACGACACCTAGTAAATGCTGATTTAGGCAGTGGCTTGGTGAATGTATCAGCAAGTTGATCACAAACATGCGTATGAGTAACATGGACTCGATGATCTTGAACCTGGTCACGGACATATGCAAAATCAACAGCAACATGTTTCATACGGGTATGAAAAACTGGGTTGTGAGATAAATAAGTCACTCCAACATTGTCACAGTAGATTGTTGGCGTCTTCGAAATGGTGACATGTAACTCATGAAGTAAGTTTCGCACCCAAGTGAGCTCTGCAAGTGCATTGGCGACGGATTTGTACTCTGCCTCGGTGGATGAACGAGCTACTGCACGTTTTTTTTGATGACCAACTGACTGGATTTGGTCCAAAGAAAAGAATGTAACCTGATGTAGAGATTCTGTCATTTGGATCGCCAGCCCAATCCGCATCAGCATACATAAACAAATTGGAGTCAGAGCTGCGAATGATGCGAAGTCCTGAACTTGAAGTTTCTTTGAGATACCGTAGCACTCTTTTAACCGCTTTCCAATGTTCATCAGTCGGGACATGCATAAATTGAGACAATTTATTGACGGCATAAGAGATGTCAGGCCGTGTGAGGGACAAATACTGCAATTTGCCAAGGGTACGCCGGTAGCGAGTGGCATCAGTATGTGGCGAACCGTCAGCCACTCGGAGTGGTACAGTGGAACACATGGGGGTAGAAACACCTTTGCAATTTTCCATATCCAGTTCGAAAAGAATATCCAGAATATATTTTGATTGAGAAAGAATGAGACCATCTGGTATGTGCTTAACATCAACACCCAAGAAGTAGTTCAAATAGCCAAGATCTTTCAACGAAAATCTAGTTGCCAAGGAACTGATGAAAAATTTGATCACTTTTGGATGGTGGCCAGTGATTATGATGTCGTCAACATAGACAAGAACGCAAATAGTTACAGCCATATGCTTCCATACAAATAGAGAGGTGTCAGATTTTGTTCTGACAAACCCCATTTTCAGCAGATGTTCATGCAGAGAATTATACCAAGCCCGAGGGGCTTGTTTGAGGCTATAAATAGCCTTTTTCAGCTTGCAAACATGAGTCGGGAATTGGGGATTGATAAATCCTTGGGGTTGAGACATAAACACTTCTTCGTCCAATTCTCCTTGAAGGAAAGCATTATTGACATCAAGTTGATGGATTGGCCAATTGTGTTGCACAGCGATAGATAGAACCAACCTGACCGTTGTTGGTTTGACAATGGGACTGAATGTCTCATGAAAATCCAAACCAGGGCGCTGCGTGAGCCCTTTTGCAACTAGACGAGCTTTGAAACGGTCTATAGAGCCACTTGCTTTTCGCTTGATCCGATACAACCATTTGCAATCCATCACATTATTGGACAGGTCTCGCGTTACGAGTTCCCAAGTTTGATTTTTGATTAAGGCATCATACTCTTCTTGCATTGCTTGCCTCCACTCTTCATGTTTATCAGCCTGTTTGAAAGTTACAGGTGTAGGAATCAAATGGGTTAGAAAAGAGAGTTTTCTCTTTGGCTTGGAGATATTATTGAGACCGAGTTATAATTCGGTTTAAGGGTGGTGGGGGAATCGAGGCAACAGGTATGGCAAGAGAGGGATCACTGGATGTCAGGGGTGGGGGAGTGGTGGCGCTAGGGGCTGGGAGTGATTGTTGTGTTTGTATGAATCTACTGCTGCCAGCAGTCCTACAGTTTCTGCCACCACTCATGTGGTGCAATTTAACCCTGTTGCTCAGTTACCTCTTAAGTTACAAGGTAACCTCAACTTTTTAACCTGGAAAGCATCAGTAACTGGAGCCATATATGAGCAAGCTTTAAAAGAAATAGATGGATCTAACTCGGTGGAGCTTATAATGCTCTGATACCATATAAAGATTAAGATGAGAAGGTCAAAAGATAATTTCATTAAGTCTAGCAGCAAGCTATTATATACATAATCTTCAACCAACTAATGCTAAAGTGCAGGCCACCACCTAAACATGATCTACAACTAACTAATGCTAGATAATAGGAACTATAACTACTCCTAAATGTGCTCCACATAGTAGGAGACTTATTCAAACTAGTAACAAGAGGTAAATAAAACATATACTAGAAGTTACTGCAGTTAGCAACCTACAGATATCGTTAATATCCGGATGTTAAGCCAAGTTGTGACCAACCAAGCTAGGCCACAAAGAGGAGCTAGACATGAAGTGACTAATACTTCGAGGATCCGAAAGTTCTTGAGGATGAATCCTCCAAGTTTCATGGGTTCAAGCACTACTGAGGATCTAGAGAGTTTTGTTGAGGAACTGAAAACGGTATTTGAGGTTATGCATATTGCTGATATTGGGAGAGTTGAACTAGCTGCATATCAACTGAAGAATGTTTCTAGGAGTTGGTTCGACCCGTGGAAAGAAGGTAGAGCTGAGGATGCACCACCTGTGAGTTGGGCATGTTTTGAGGAGGCCTTCTTAGGGCGTTTCTTTCCCCGAGAACTGAAAGAGGCTAAGGTACGAGAATTTTTTACCCTTAAGCAGGATTCCTCGAGTGTTCATGAGTATGGGTTGAAGTTCACCCAACTATCTTGTTATGCTCCGGAGATGGTTACAGATTTGAGGAGTAGAATGAGTCTGTTTGTTACTGGGTTGTCCCGTCTATCAAGCATGGAGGGCAGGGCAACGATGTTAATTGGGGACATGGATATATCAACGTTGATGGTCTATGTGCAGCTGGTTGAGGAAGAGAAGCTGAGGGATAGGGAGGAGTTTAGAAACAAGAAGGCTAAGACAAGGAATGAGCCCGGACAACAGAAAAGTAATGTGAACCGTTCATCCTTTCAGCAAAAGCAAAAAGGACCAGCTCCATCATCTGCTAGTGCACCTGCACCCAGAAACAAAGGTGAGTGTAATGGTCAGAATTCGCAGAACTTCAGAGCTAGACCTGCACAGTCTCAAGGTAGTGTGGCACAAGGAGGTAATTGGGCTCCTGCATGTGCTAGGTGTGGTAGAACCCACCTAGGTAAGTGTCGTGATGGCCAGTCAGGCTGTTTTAAGTGTGGACAAGAGGGTCACTTTATGAAAGAGTGCCCTAAGAACATGCAAGGTAGTGGGAATCAGGGCAATAGAGCCCAATCTTCATCTGTTGCTCTACCATACAGGGCTACACCTAGAGGAGCTACTTTCGGTACTGGCAGAGGAGCAAACCGGCTCTATGCTATCACTAGTCGTCATGAGCAAGAGAATTCTCCAGATGTTGTCACTGGTATGATCAAAGTCTTTACTTCTGATGTTTATGCTTTGCTAGACCCAGGAGCAAGTTTATCTTTTGTAACCCCTTATGTTGCAAATAAATTTGATGTTATTCCTGAGAAACACTGTGAATCCTTTTGTATTTCTACACCTGTTGGGGAATCTATTTTAGTTGAGCGAGTATATCGTGATTGTATCATTTCCATCAATCACAAAGACACCATGGCTGATTTAATTGAGTTAGACATGGTAGATTTTGATGTCATTCTCAATATGGACTGGCTTCATGCCTGTTATGCGTCAATAGATTGTAGAACTTGAGTTGTCAAGTTTCAAATTCCTAATGAGCTAATCTTAGAGTGGAAAAGTAATTCAGGGAAAGCTGAGTTTAAGGAATGTAGGGCCATATAATATTATTCGAAGGATTGGTAGGGTGGCTTACGAGATTGATTTTCCTTCAGAATGTAAAGCAGTTCATCCGGTGTTCCATGTACCTAGTTTATAGAAGTGCATCGAAAATGCTTTGAATTATGCCCATTGTGGATATTCTTGTCTCTACAGACTTGTTGTATGCTGAGGTGTTAGTATCTATGTTGGATTGGCATGTAAGAAAGATTTGGACTGAAGAAGTGGTTTCTATGGAAGTGATGTGGTGGAATAAAAACGTTGAGGAAATAACTTGAGAAGTCGAGGAGGAAATAAGGAAGAAGTACCCCCAACTATTGACGACTTGAGCTGAGTTGCGTTTCAATAATTGACAATTATTCTTGTACACAAACTTAATTGGATTTTAAATACCTCAAAAATGTAGTTTATATGGATTGTCGCAAGCTAGATATACGAAGCCTTGTAATTAGATTTTTGAACTGGATTTAAGATTTGTGGACATAACAAATATAGCCTTGCAAATAGCACAGTAGCAGCAAAGAATACAACTAAGATATTGTTCGAATCCATTCGCGGACGAATGTTCTTAAGGAGGGGAGAATGTGAGACCCCGTGGTTCTTTCGCATAATATGTGTATCATTGAACGAGTGTATGACGATTATATGACTTGGTGTATCATTTCTGGAGAATAAGGTTGCAAGGGGAGGTAAAAAAAATCAAAGAATTAGACTAACGTTATGGGTCAAGGATGCCCTTAAACAAGTTCGAGTTAAAGAATGTCTATTCTAACACTCTGCCCGTTCAGAACGCTTAAGTTAACCGGTACCTTTGGGGATAAGACAAAGAGTGTCTTATATGCTAATAAGGATGTTTTATAAGGTGATATAGTCTCCCAATGATCGTAAGTTAAGATTTGAAGTCAAGCAAGTTGAGAAATAAAAAATTGGAAAAAGTTAGAGTAAGTTTCTTTGATAAATTTTCTAAAAATTGGGTTAAATATCTCGGAGCTTTTCTCCCAATCTATAAAGCTTTAGAAGAACCCCAATATATGAAATCGAAGGTCTACGAGTCTACTTTCCAACGCACTAAATCATTTGTCCATATGACTTCAGAATTAAGAGATATTTAGATTTTAGTGAGACTGCACAAGCAGGCACGTGAAGGTGGCCCCTAGCCATATGTCGGTTTAGCTTTATAAGATCAGATTTCCCTTCATTTTATCTCATTATTTTCGACCAAAATAAGAATAAAATAGTCCTAAATCCTCTCTAAAGGTTCACCTATCATTCAAGAAAAGATCTACAAGATTTCAATGTGGTTTCACCCTCGGAACGTCCATAGAGATTGTGTTATTTCTTTCCTCCTCGTTGGTTGTGATTTGAAGGATTCTTCATGGTGAAGGAGTCTCGTTTTTTATGTGGTGTTGCTGCTGTTTGGAGGTAATAATTCTCACCCTTCATTTTATTGAGTGAGTCCAAGTTATAGCTATGCTATATAAGCAAGAACACGAATAGGCGGCTGGAAAAATCGTATTTGGATAGTTACGTGATGTTGGGCTGTTTTGAAGTATTTTCTGATATTGTTGTTGCTGGAATTTTTTTGGAAATGCTTGGTATGTGTGTGGTTCTTGTTGATATGAGTCTGGAAAAGAAGAAGAAGTATAGATGGATATTTAATTGTAACATAAATTAGTGTAACATTGGTTCTATTATTGCATTGCAATTTTCAAATTGTTTCTTCTTGGTTCAACGTCTTGCGTTTAAGGAGACTGTTTGTTATTGACAAGACATGTTAATGTACTACAAGCTCCATCAAGTTTAAGTTTAGGTTTTGTCCTTTTAAGCTCTTATTGCATATGAAGAGAAAGACATGACTCCAAATGTAATTATTGGACGAACGTATAGGATGATGATTGGAAGCGGCGAGTTCAAGTTATTATGGTTATATTGAACAATTATAGAACTGTATTATACATCTTTTTTATGGCTTTAATGGTTTGAACACTCGTGGTTAGGATTTGGTTATGGTTATTTTGGGTTGGAAAAGAGGGGTGTGGCGATACGCCGAGTTTTAATTGTTGTGCAGGCATACTCTATTTGGTTGTTGTTGACTATTGCGTAGGCCTCCACTTGTTAATAGCTGCTGCAAAAATGTATGTTATGTCAGTAATTTGAGGTTGTAATTTTGAGAAGAGAAGGTAATGAAACATACATTTAAAAATGGTCTGGCGAGCTAATCACTCTGCAAGTGAGCTCTAAATTGCTACTTTGACCCTGACGTGCTAATGGTTGTGTGACATGGTTTTCTGTAGACTACATGCTGTAAGGAAGGGGGTACAATCCATATTGATACAACAAGACCCAAAATCGAGGTATGTTAAGGCTAAGCACTATGCTTCCTTTGAGCACGAATTTTTGAATCCTAAATTGTCAAATATTGTTTTACTACTCTATTGCTAGAAAGGCCTTTTGTGAAAGGCATTGAGATTGCATCTGGCATATTTTTGTGACTCCATTATGTTGCTATTCCACTCGTTCGGTTAGATTTATGCGTCTTTATGTCATTTTGTTGATTCTCTTGACTATAGGTCCATGTGTACAAATTATTATTCTTTTTTAGGTCTAGTAACTTAAAAAGATTAGGGATGAACAATATCAATATGAAATCAGTCCTCCTTCCTCGCTAATTTATATTTTTTTTGAAAACTTTACAATAAAATGTCGATCTCCAAAACTGTTAAACGTAAATTGTATGTTTAAACTACTAAAGTACGGTTTTTTCTGAAATACTTTCTTTTACAAACTACTAAGGAAACATATATAGTTACTAAGTGAAGAATTTTAAGCTCTTTATGAACATCCTCAAGTTTAAGTTGCCTTTCTAAATCCAAGTTAAGTGTTCCAGTTTAATCTACAAGTATATGAGGTTCTACGAGATATTTACATGTGATACGAAAGTGATTACGAGGACAAGAGTACCAACGAGCCAAGATTGGCAACATGATTTAGGTAACAAATGCATTACGAATCCATGACATTGTATGCTATGCATTCTACTTCCGAGCTATAATCGGAAGGTATGGGGCCTATTGCCTATAGTTCTACGTATGAGACACAGATGGCCACAAGTTGGCGAATATGATGCCGGTTCGCTACCGGAAGGCACCACCATTGCTAGCACTTGGTTGGGTATGACATGCATTTGCATCTATATATATGTATTCACGACATACGAATATGCGAGCATACCATGCATATTAAATTTATATAAGGTAGGATGTCAGCCATGGAGGCTATCAGAGTTTCTATTTCAAGTGGTATCTTTATTACCCTTTCACAACAACTATTTATTATTCTATTTTCTGCCTTACATACCAGTACATTTTTATTCGTACTGATGTCCCGTTGCCTGGGGACGCATTTTTGTTTCGTGCGTGTAGGTCCAGGTAGGTTTTCTGATTGACCCCTCCACTAGGATTCGGGGTTCAGCTGTGAGTTGGTAAGCTCCACTTCTTCCTGAAGCTTTCATAGGGTGTTACTTTTATTGTACAGTTTGGGTATAATTGGGGCCTTGTCCTGACCAGTGCTTATGTCACTCATAGAGGCTATTGTGGACACAATATTTTGGGTTTCTTTCTGCAGCTTCCAGTTTCCAGCCACATAGGCTTGGCATGTATAGATATGTATGTATGTGTGTATATCTTCATTGTAGCCTTGTCGGCTAGCTAGTACCTTATTATCTTTGGCTTGTCGTCTACATGACTTACCGATATTCAGGTTATGACCTTAAGGGTCCAGCCATAGTATTTTAGATGTTATGCTGCCCGACCTTCTAAGCCCTCAGTTGAGTCAGTTGGTATGTTTATGTGGCTAACTCAATTGCTTAAGGTGTCGAGTGCCAGTCACGCCTTATCTAGTTTGGGGCGTGACATAAGGGTCGTTTTATTTCGTACTTTAAAGCAAGAAAGTTAGTTTCCAAGGGTTGTATTTATTAGTTAGTCTGAATTAATGACTCTAGTGTTGAGATACCTCCTATTCAGTCAGTTTCAATAGTAAGAGAGTTTCCCAAAGTCTTTCCAGATGATCTTTCCGGAGTCCCTCCTGAGAGAGAGATAGACTTCAGTATAGATGTTCTTCCAAACACTCATCATATATCTATTCCGCCATATAGAATGGCTCCAACAGAGTTGAAAGAGCTTAAAGAACAGTTGAAAGACCTCCTTGATAAGGGCTTTATCCGACCAAGTGTCTCACCTTGGGGCGCTCTGGTTTTGTTTGTGAGGAAGAAGGATGGTTCCCTTATGATGTGTATAGATTACCGTCAGTTGAACAAGGTTACCATCAAGAATAAATATCCTCTTCCGAGAATTGATGATCTTGTCGATCAACTTCAAGGTGCCACCTATTTCTCTAAGATAGACTTCAGATCTGGCTACCATCAGTTAAGAGTAAGGGAATGTGATATTCCAAAGACAGCATTCAGGACCCGTTATGGTAACTATGAGTTTCTGGTCATGTCGTTCGGTCTGACCAATGCTCCTATAGCGTTCATGGACCTTATGAATAGAGTATTCAAGCCTTAGTTAGATATGTTTGTTATCGTGTTCATTGACGACATACTAATCTATTTGACGAATGAGGAAGATCATGCTAGCCATCTCAGATAGTTCTCTAGACTTTAAAAGATAAAGAGTTTTATGCCAAGTTATCTAAGTGTGAGTTTTGGCTTGAGTCTGTGGCGTTCTTAGGCCACATTGTGTCTAGAGAGGGAATTAAAGTTGATGCTCAAAAAATTGAGGCAATACAGAATTGGCCTAAACCCACATCTACAACTGATATTAGGAGTTTTTTGGGTTTAGCTGGCTATTATAGAAGGTTCGTAGAGGGGTCTCATCTATTTCGTCTCCTTTGACCAAGTTTACTCAGAAAATTGTGAAATTTCAATGGTCTGAAGCTTGTGAGAAAAGCTTTCAGGAATTAAAAAAGAAGTTGACGTCTGGCCTAATTTTGACATTACCAGAAGGTACGCAAGGCTTTTTTGTCTATTGTGATGCGTCCAGAGTTGGTTTGGGTTGTGTGTTAATGCAGAATGGCAAGGTTATAGCTGATGGCTCCAGACAGGTGAAAGTTCATGAGAAGAATTACCCAACCCATGACTTAGAGTTAGCTGTCGTAGTATTTGCTTTGAAGATATGGTGTCATTATTTGTATGGTGTGCATGTGGATGTGTTCACCAATCATAAGAGTCTTCAGTATGTGTTTACTTAGAAAGAACTTAATCTCAGACAAAAAAGGTGGTTAGAATTACTCAAGGATTATGACATGAGTATTCTTTACCACCCAGGTAAGGCAAATATGGTTGTTGATGTTTTAAGCAGGTTGTTTATGGGTAGTACCGCCCATGTTAAGGAAGAAAAGAGAGAGTTAGCGAAAAATGTGCATAGACTTGCACGCTTAGGAGTCCGACTAATGGATTCCACAAACAGAGGAGTAGTGGTGATGAATGGGGCTGAATCATCATTAGTGTCAAAAGTGAAAGAAAAGCAAGACCAAGACCCAATATTGCTTGAATTGAAGGCAAATGTTCATAAGCAAAAGTAATAGCTTTTTGAACAAGGGGGAGATAGCGTTTTGAGATATCAAGGTAGATTGTGTGTACCAATAGTGGATGGACTCCAAGAGAGGATCATAGAGGAAGCTAATAGCTCCAAATATTCCATTCATCCAGGTTCCATAAAGATGTATCGTGGTTTGAAAGAAGTTTATTGGTGGAGTAGCATGAAGAAGGACATTGCAGAGTTTGTTGCTAAGTGTCCGAATTACCAACAATTTTAAGTGGAGCATCAAAATCCCGGTGGTTTGGCTCAGAATATAGAACTTCCGGAATGGAAGTGGGAGATAATCAATATGGATTTCATCACAGGTTTACCAAGGTCTCGCAGGCAAAAGACTACCTATTCAGCAGAAGATTATGCCAAGTTATATATTCAGGAGGTGGTAAGACTTCATGGAGTCCATGTTTCGATTTTATCAGATAGGGGTACACAATTTACTACACAGTTTTGGAAGTCATTCCAGAAAGGCTTGGGTTCAAAGGTGAACTTGAGTACTGCTTTTCATCCTCAGACAGATGGTCAAGCAGAGCGCACTATTCAGACCTTAGAGGATATATTGAGGGCTTGTGTGATTGATTTCAAAGGTAATTGGGATGATCACCTACCTCTTATTAAGTTTGCTTACAACAATAGTTACCACTCTAGCATCCAAATGGCTCCTTATGAAGCTCTTTATGTGAGAAGATGCTGATCTCCTATTGGATGGTTTGAAGTTGGTGAAGCAAGGTTGATAGGACCAGATTTAGTTCATCAAGCTATGGAGAAGGTGAAAGTGATTCAAAAGAGGTTGAAAACAGTGCAGAGTCGTCAGAAATCCTACATTGATGTTAGGAGAAGGGAGTTAGAGTTTGAAGTAGATGATTGAGTGTACTTGAAGGTTTCACCCATGAAAGGTGTTATGAGATTTGGTAAGAAGGGGAAGCTTAGTCCCCGGTATATTAGCCCTTACAGAATATCGAAAAGGGTAGGTAATGTAGCTTATGAGTTGGAGCTACCACAAGAGTTAGCCGCGGTTCATCCGGTCTTTCATGTCTCCATGTTGAAGAAGTGCATGGCTAATAATTCATTGATCATACCAACTGAAGATATTAGCATCAAGGATAGCTTATCTTATGACGAGATTTCGGTTCAGATTTTAGATTGCCAAGTTCGCAAGTTGAGGACTAAGGAAGTAGCATCAGTCAAAGTTCTTTGGAGGAACCAGTTTGTTGAGGAAGCTACTTGGGAAGCTAAGGAAGATATGAAGAAGAGATAACCACATCTCTTTGAATCCGAGAAGTTCCAAATTAAGGTACTAATACTTTTCTTGGCTTTTATTTATAAGATTAGCATGTTGTAATTGCATTGCTTCTTGGGTGTTTGAGCTGAATGATAAATGTTACACCCTTAGCCTAGTAAGAGTAATCTCATTCGAGAACGAATGTTCCCAAGGGGGATCTATTGTAACACCCTGTAACTAGAAAGAAGTTTAAAATTGGAAATTGTCATTTTTGGAAAGAATATAAAAATCTGGAAATTTGTTAAGTATGTTAAAGTTGAGTTTTTGGTCAACTTCTAATGACCATAACTTCTAGCTCAGGATGATCTAGGTGTGTTTCCAGATATCATAAGAAATATCTTGGAATAATCTTTCCAACGCCGCCGAGTTTACACGATTCCGAGTTTGTATGAGTGAGTTATGCCCATTGGAAGTTGGGTTGTTCAAATAAGGAAATGTCCAACCCGGATTTTTAAATGGTGTTTTGGTCTTTTCCATACCCTATTATTTTAATTCGTTATAGTGAACTAATTAAGGGTCAAAACTGAACTTGGTCAATTTATGCCTTTCACGAAAGAGTTAGGGTTTTGAAGAGAAAAAAATAAGAGAAGAGGACAAAGGAGAAAAAAAGGAGCAAGAATCGTCAAGATCTTCAAGCATCGCTTGTGGATTTCGTCAAGGGTTGATCCCTACGAGGTATGTGAGTTCACACTGCATTGGGTTCGTTCACCCACGCGCCAAACATAATTAATTCAGCATGAATTCGTCCTAAAAGTTGAAAGTTTGAATGTTCTTGATGTGTGTTCTTGAATTTACTTTCGTTCTTGAATTTGGGGTGTGATTGAGGAGTTGTTGAGAGTTTAAGATCGATTAGTAGAGTTGTTTCAAGTTAGATTCTTGTGTATATGTTGTGGGTACCTGAATCTAGAGAGATATGGAGAAAAAGATCTGAATCTAGGCGAATTGGGGCTGGAAAACGAAGAAGAAAATTAGTCGGGCAAATCTGGGCATTGGCTCCACGTCGCGGACCTGCTCCCCAAATTTGGGAAAAATCATTTCGCGGAGCGGAGCGGTCACAGACCATTCTGCCTCAAAAAGTATTTTCGCGACCAATTTAAATACATCTCTGCGTCGCGGACCAGCTTTCAGACAGTGATTTCTTGATCATTTCTCATGTTTAGCTATCTAAAATCATTCTTAAACATCATGAGATCTTTCCTATCACAAATCACAATCCTTGAATCCATAATTCAATTCAAGGAAAGTTAAGAGTCAAGTCAAGAGAAGTTAAGAGTCAAGTCAAGAGAAATTAAGAGAATCTTCCAAAAGTCATTTACAAATGATTTAACTTTGTTTTAAGACTTGAGTTTTGAGTTGAGTAAAAAGTAAAGATTGAAGTTCAGTTCTTCAAAGAAGTATAAGGGGACTTTGTATTCCCAAAGAGTTTAAAAATGTTTTCACATTTGAACAAGAAACGGAACATCGATTCCAAGAGAGCTTTTAAGCTAAGTTTTGAGTAATTATCTCAAACCAAAGAAATAAGTTTGTTTTAAAAAAATATGAGCCAAGTATATTTTGGGAGTAGTATTGAGCACCGATCTGGGGATGCGAGTTCATATTAACTCAAGTCTCCATAAATCATGTAGCCATCATGGGTAGTAAAGGATCATACCTTTTAGATGACTCCTTAAGATGCTTTTAGCATAGACTAGTGAATCAACTTAGTTAAGCGTTCTATATGACGACAAAGTATAGGACAGTTCTGGCAGCTTGGGCAAGACGTTGTATTACCACTTAAGCTCATAGTGGTGGTTGTCAGTTAGCGAATTTCCCACAGAAACTATATTACCTTCTTATATAAGTAAAGTTGAGTTTGTTATTGCATTTCTTTAACAAACTAAGTTGTTTTCTACTGTTTTACAAGCTTTATATATATTGCATGTGTTTTATTGCTTTATATTGAGTTAAGTTGTTCAGGAGTTGAGTAAAGCCAAGGTAAGTGTTCCTTCCAGATTCTTTTCAAGCTTAAGTTATGTTTAACATTCTAACTCACATACTCGTACATTCAATATACTGATGCCAATTGGTTTGTATCTTATTATGATGCAGACGCAAGTAACTAGGGTCAGCATCCAGCGCCTCATTGATCCAGTTGAGCACTCAGAGTCAGTTGGTGAGCCTCCTTGCTTTCTGGAGGGCTCCTTTGTTATCATCTGATTTTAGTATTTCATTTGTTAGGATGATCGGGGGTGTTTTCCTGACATCCATCTCAGTTATTTTAGAGGCTTCATAGACAGTCAGATGTTAGTTCTTTAGTCTTTTCATTGTCATTATCTTATGTTGAGACTTGAGTTTGCCTTAATGGCCAGTTGAATGTTCCTTTATAATATTCCAGTTTATTACATATATTTATCTTTGTTGAGTTAAGTCTTCTGCTGAGTAAGTAAGCCAGGACAAGAGTTCACTTGGGGCCAGCAATGGTTCTCGTCTTCTCGAGTGCCGGCCACGTCCAGGGTGTAGGCTCGGGGAGTGACAAGAAGTATCATTGAGAATGTTTTATTGGCTCAGGAGATTACTTCAAATATTAGTAAGAGGGGAAAGCCTATAATGTGATTATAAAGCTAAATATGTCTAAGGCCTATGATAGGGTGTCTTGGTTCTTTCTTATGAAAGTACTAATGAAAATGTTATTTTCTAATAGAGTGGTAGATTTGATTTGGAGATTGCTAGCAAACAATTACTATTCAGTGCTTCTTAATGGTCAATCTTATGGGTTTTTTCATTCGACTAGAGGAGTTAAACAAGGAGATCCTTTATCTCTAGCATTATTCATCATTTTAGCAGAGGTTTTTTCTAGAGCTCTCAATACTCTATTTGAAGACCCTCACTTTGTTGGCTATGAGATGCCTAAATGGAGTGGTAATCTCAATCATCTAGCTTTTGCTGATGATACCATTATTTATCCTCTTCAAATAGATATTCTATGGAGAAAATTATGTCTATTCTGCAGGAGTATGAGAAGCAATCAGGCCAGATGATCAATAAGAAAAAGAGTTCTTACTATGTACACCAAAATATACTGGGATGGTAAGAGGCAATTTCCTATGAAATATCTAGGATGCCCTATTACACATTCTAGAAAGAGAAAAGAGCACTATGTAGAATTATTTAATAAGATTAAAGGTAGGTTGCAAAGCTGGAAAGTGAAAATGCTTTCATATGGGGGTAAGGAAGTTCTTCTTAATAGTGTTCTTCAAAGAATCCCTATCTATGTTCTTTTTGCTATTACCCCCCCCCCCCTCTCCCCCCCAAAATGTGTTATTAATGAGATTAATCATAGAATTTTTGCAAAATTCTATTAGAGTAATAAGAAAGATGGAAGAAATAAACATTGGTCTAAATGGGTGAATGTGTGTCTTCCTAAACATTAAAGGGGATTGGGATTTAGATCTATGTTTGATGTATCCAGGGCTATGTATGCAAAGTTATGGTGGAATTTCAGAACTCAAGGTACTTTGTGGTCCAATTTTATGTGGACCAAGTATTGTAATAAACAAATTCCTACCCATGTTCAATGGAAAGAAGGTTCCCAAATTTGGAAACATATGCTTGAGAATAAGGAGATACTATAACAACATATGTGGTGGGAACCTAGAGGAGGCACTTCTACTATTTGGTATGATAACTGGTTTAATCTGGGACCCTTGTACCTACATGTTTCTGAGGAGCAAACTTGTCACACCATGAAAGACGTTTGTAAATTTCTAACTGAGGAAGGATGGGACTATCCGGCAATGAGAGATTTTGTCCCTAAGTATGTTGTAGAGCATATCCATTCTAATATGCACCCAATATATCTCAGTAATCAAAGTGACAAAGCTTGGTGGACTAAAACAAATAGTGGCAAGTTCTTTGTTAAATCTGTTTGGGAATTACTGAGATACAAAAACGAGAGGAATGAAGACATGGTAAATGTGTGGATAAAAGGGTTGCCTTTCAAAATTTCATTCCTTGCTTGGAGAATATGATTTGGAAAGATCCCCGTTGCTTCTCTAATGCATAGATGGAATCCTGATTATTCTTGGGACTGTAGGTGTTGTATAATTCCAGAAGAAGAGACCATTGATCACCTATTTCTAACAGAAGAATTTGCTACCAGAATTTGGAACTATTTCAGCAGTGCTACTGGAATTATGGACCCTATGCTAAATTTGAAGCAATTCATAAGGTTGTGAAGTGCTGTAGAAGGAAACCATAGAGTGAAGGTGGTTTGCAAGGCTATTCCTATCATTTTCTTTGGTTTCTGTGGAAGAGAAGGAATATTATTATTCATGGAGGGACCTGTTTAGAATTTAGAGTAATGTGGGATATTAATGATACAATTATTAAGTTCATTCATTCCAGATTTAGAGTGAACTGTGGCAGCAGCTCTTGGCATCTTATTCTTTCAGAATTGGAACATCACATGCATAACATTTCTTTTAGAATTGTTAGATGTGAGCCTTCTCCTCCTAATTTACTGAAGTGCAACACTGATGGAGAATCTAAAGGGAATCCTGGTCCTAGCTCAGTAGCTTTTTGTATCAGGGATCATAGTGGTAATCTGGTGGTTGCTAAAGGTTACATAATTCAAGATACTACTAATATAGTAGATGAAGCTAGAGCTATAAGGGAGAGTCTCAGTTTCTGTATTGAACATGGAATTGATAATATTATTATTGAGACAGACTCTTTAGCTATGGTGCATATTCTAGAGGGGGAGTGGGAAGTGCCATGGAATGTCGCATTGGAAGTTAGCATAATCAGGAGATTGAGAAGTGATATCTCAGCAAGAGTAAAGCCTTCCTTTAGGGAAGGAAATACTTTGGCTGATTTTTTTGCTAATCTAGTTTTCTCTTTTGCAGGTGATTTTCAAATTCAGAACTTTCAGGAAATTCCTAGTGCAGGAAAGAAGTTACTCAATCTAGACAAATATGGTACAACATACATAAGGAGGAAAATACAAGATTAACAAAGTTAAGAAAGTGCAAATTGAAAGATCATATATACAATAAGCATGGTAATCCTTATTTGTGAATAAGAATTTCTGATATATCTAGTGTAACCTATTACAGTGATTTCATAATTTAGATTAAACAAGATGCTTTTTATCTCACTTTTGTCTGAATTATATTCGATTGGTTAAAATATCATGCACCTGATGAGAGTTTGAGGTGTTGCATATGATATAAAACTAGGACAGGTGAGGCAAAAATATTCTTCTAAATCTATTACTTTATTGTTATTCACAATAAAGTTAAGATTTACACATGCTCTGATTAATAAACGTCTACAAGTACTAGTTCATTGGCTATTGGATGGACGGTGAACAGAGTCAAATTCATGGACAACCTCGACAAAATAAAGTTAGTAATCCTTTTTGTGGATCTAAACTCAGGTGGTGGTATCAATTTCATTTGTGGGATTCAACCCACCGAGATTAGACCTAAGAAGAGGAGAAACTAAGCTTACCTCAGGTCGATTTGTGCAACAAATACGAGAACTGGTTATGTATCTCCTTATTGTGGTGACCAAGTTGAGATCGGAGCAAGTGTCTTTAAGATGGCTGCTCCATGGAAATCGCCTCTGTGTGGTGGTGCGCAGGAGGTAATCGTGAGCTTTTCGATTTACACAGGCGGAACATTGACAATTTCTGTAGAAGATGAATAGTCTTCATCTAGATGATAGAAAGGCTCTTCAATTTCCACTTTCCTCTTTTCCTATTTCCCTTTTCATTTACTTTCTTATTTTGGTTTTTTCCTTGCTTTTTTCATTTTCTGAACATTTTTGGGGTTTAGCACTGTTGGCTAAACTCACCTTTGTACAGACTTCATTAATTTAGTATATGTGGCCCTTTGGGTTTTGATTAAAAAAAAAAAAGTATAAATTATAGGAATCACATATTATAAGTACTAAATAACATCTTATCCCTTCGAATTTTTTATTTATCAAAAATTCCTTAAAAATGATGTCGCGGGATACATAGCGTTGTGCACGAGATACATTAGGTTTGATACATTCCACATAGCGGGATACATAGCGTTGTGCACGGGATGCATTAGGTTTGATACATTCCACATAGCGGGATACATAGCGTTGTGCACGGGATACATTAGGTTTGATACATTCCACATAGCGGGATACATAGCGTTGTGCACGGGATACATGCGGGATACATAGGTAAATAAGGGATTTTTGAAATTTTTGAAATAAGTAGGGATAAATGGATATTAAGGTAAGTAAAGGAGTGTAGTTAAGTAATTTGTCCAAAAAAAAATATTTCTAATCATCCCAAACACATGCATTTAACAATTTAGACAACACAATCACAATTTTATCCCCCAAGTTAAAGAAGTTACTACTCACTAACTACCCCCCCCCCCCCCCAACTTTCAACAAAGCGATCAAAAAAATAATAATGATTATTACCACTTTAAGAGAGTAAAAGTGAGAAAAACATACCGGATTGTAGGGGTGTCCAAAAACCGAATCGATCAAAAAGTGTTATTGGTTTATTATTATTGGGTTATTGGATTAACGGGTTTTTAATGGTTTTATAAAAAAAATATTATCGGGTTATTGGTTCGGTATTTATTTTTAATATTGGGTTATTAGGTAAACTGATAACCCATTAAGACTGGTAATTTACTACATTTACTTGTACATAAATATTATTTATTAATCTCAATACCTTACTAGTTACTCTCTTTATCCTTTTGCCTTTAATTCACACTTCAAAGTAACTTTTAGTTCACAATTTCACATTATACAAAACGTCAAAATCTAAACTAAATACCATATTCCTCTTAATTTCTCTTTGTGTTACACTTGTATAGTTTTTTCATTACATTATTGTGTTGTCGCGTATAATTTAGTAGAGAAGTCATATATTTATTTTATAAGTATTCTCTTATTGGTTAAACCAAAAACCGAACCGTTAAGGACCAAAATCGATATCCAAAACCGATAAAAATCTCTTATTGGTTTGGTTATTGATTTAATAAATTTAAAAATCAAAAACCAATAAACTGAATCGATAATACATAAAATCGAACCAAACCGACCGATGCACACCCCTACCGGATTGTGTTTGTACAATGAACACCAAGAGGTTGGAATCATTTTGGAACAAGTGAAGAAGGAGAACAATAAGTTGGACCTTTTATTTTGTGAGTTTTGTCCGTTTGAATCCCTTAAACTGCCATTTGAAATGCCTTACCTTCGCTTAAGTGACATTTGGTCGTTTTTGTGACTGCTGCTAAAAGTTCGGTGTTCACTTAAGCGATGATAGCTTTTGTGATAGGGAGCCACGTTTGCGGACTTTGCTTAAGCGAACCTCGTTCGCTTTGGCGACTTCTAAGGCCATTTTTTCAAAGCTACTCACTGTCCAATTGTGCGAGCTCGGGGGTCCATTAGGCGATTCACCCAGTGTCATTGGGCACCCAAAATGCCTCCCAAGTCATTTTCCAACGGGGTTTTAGCTCCAAACTTCATTTCTTTCAAGATTCATGCCTCCAAACCTGTTCGAATTAACTCCAAAACTCCAAAATCATGATAACTAGTCAAAAATAAAAAATTTAAACCTAATATAGAAATTAAAAACTCAAAATTAAACTAAGTTATACCAATGAGGTGTCTCCTATCAAGCGCATAATTTAATATCGTGGCGCGACGCAAAGCCGGTTACATCACCCTTTGTGTTTCCATTTCGAGGCAATGAAGTGTCTCCCTAACTTGAGATCAATTTTACTCCGAAGAGCATGAGGAGTGCAAGAGAGCATTAAGCGTTTCACCCGATCTCTCCACTTTGAAGACTCGAATCTCTTACCCAACTTCGAATCATGCTTTCTCTTTGGATCATAGGGCAAGAGTGAAAGGGTTACTAGGCCACGTGAGCATTTAACTTCATAATTCATGGCCTTTAAGTGAGTGACACTCTCCTCTTTACATGAACTAAACTTGCCAAATAGGATCCTTTTTGCTTTTACTTGCAACTCTAGTATCATGCTACTTATTTCAGCTTATTTGATTTTATTGCTTTGGGTTGATTGCACAAGCTCAAGATATCTTCTATATCCACCTTCACCTCTTCGCTTGACTCGATTTCAAACCATTCATCTCCGAAAATAAACTGGAACGTCTCATCACACCAAGCAAGGTGCAAGTCGTGAGACTCTTCTTCGTTATTTTTGGTAATTGGATAATGAGGAGTTTTCACCCTCACAATTTCTCTCACCTTAGTGCTAAGAGTAGCAAGTCCAAATTCAAGGTCAACCATGTCATAGCATCGAGCTAGGTACCTTTTTCGAAACCTTTCCATTTCTATAAAGAGAAGGCATAGAGCTTTCTTGCCCCAACTGAGTTTTTCCTCCACGTTCCAAAACCTCGATTGACTTATCACACTTGACTCGCTCAAAGTCCATGTGTCAATGGTGGGAATACCACACCCAAAAGATGTAGTGATCACAAAAAGGCATCCAAAAAAATAAAAATAAAAGACAACTATTCACAATCTAGATAGAAACAAGTAAACTAGAAATGCTAAATCAATTCAATACGCCTAATTGTTCCCCAACAACGACGCCATTTTCGATAACACTCAAATCACCCTCCAAAACTAGTTAAAAGAGTAACTAGTCATCGTCAATAAAAATACTCAACTAAGAGTCGGGGTCGAATTCCCTAAGGAACAATATAACAGAAATTGAAAAGATACAGGCCAACTACATACTAGCTTGAACCTAGTCATACAAGGTACACAAATATCAATTAGAAGGCAATATTTATAACTACACTTCTAATGGGGTCAAAAATGAGATCAAGCAAGGGATGTATTGAAATTGGGAAACTTGAGATTCAATCAACACTCAACTATCCATTGCAATTCAATCCACAATCATTCAATCATTAATGGGTAGGCTAGGTCATCATCAATTACATTAAATTGTCTTTCGATCTCAAAGCATTTTATTGGTATATCTCCTTTCGGTCTCAATCACATAACTACAAAAGAACCCACTATCTTAACTTAGACCTCTCTTGAAAGGAAGCCTTCCACCCAACAATGAAACCTTAAACTTTGATCTTTCGATCTCAAATTGAAGATTCAAAGTCAAAATGTAATTATCAATCTAATTCTCCATGTCAATCAATCTCTTTTGAGCATCGACTGGACATCAAAAACTAGGATTGAGCGTGCACTCTCAAAAGTGCCCTTCGCAAAAGTGAACTAAAGTTTTCTTAAGCAACCTCCGCCCTTTTGACCTAGTTCGCAAAAGTGAACCCCGTGTCCTCACTTAAGCGGACAGTTGACTTCGTTGACTAGTTCGCTTAAGCGACCAGTGCTTCACAGGTGAGATAGCTTGGACTTGTTTTTCTTCCAGGCTTTGCTCTTTTTCAGCTTTGATTCCACTTTTGATTAGCATTTTCTTTCCCAACATCAAAACACCTGAAACAACACAATTCAAAGCAGAATTAACATCTTCCTCTACTTTGAGTGTCACAAAATCATAAAGAAAAGATCTCTAAATGAGTGCAAGTTGATCTCTCATCAGATGTGAGAAAAGGAAAAGATAGTGATGATGGGATTTTAAAGGAAGAGAAAGAAGTGTTTGGAGATATACACTTAGAAATTAAGAAAAGATATGAAAAAAGTTCTCTTGAAAAATAACATGACGAGAAATAAAAACTTTATTTTCTAAAGGATCAAAGAACCTAAAACCATTATATTTTGAAGGATAACCAAGAAAATACAATGTTTAGATCGAGGACTCAACTTATGTAGAACATAATCATGACGAATAGGAAAACAAGAACAACCAAATACACATAAATGATGATACGAGGGTAATTTACCAAAAAGAAGTTCACAAGGAGTTTTAAACTTGAGCTTGTGAGAAGGTAAAATATTTAAGAGATGGACAACAATATTAAGAGCTTGAACCCAAAATTGAGATGGAAGAAAAGATTGAA